GGACTATGTCTAAACTTTAAACTGGGGATTATCTTTGATTTATTGAAACATGCCGACTTCATAAATCATATGAAGACTAGTTAAGGCTATATAATGAGCTGCTTCAGACAATCATATCATTGTTTAATAAGCTAAGATATGAACTGAGCCATTTGGGCACATATGCAACCCTTTTGCTCTTTGCTTTGTGGTGAGAGAGAATACACCTTAGGGTGCAATCCTATCTGTCCTAAACTTGGAGGCTTATCAGCATCCAGTACAGAGTATGAGGAGCAGTAGAGGCAATCAATTCCCTGTCCTTTCCCCCTGCATTTTCTGCTTGACTAGCTGTTTTGCTCATCTAGCTGGTGCATCTTAGAGGAGGAAGCAAGGAGGCTGGAGTGGCTGCAGGTTACCTTGCATCCTTGTTTTTCCAGCCCCCTCCCTGCCCTGCACCTCTTAATGTGCCCTTATACCCCTCTCTGAAGGCAAGTTCCTCACCTGGATTTCTCCACACAGCCATTGAAGGAGTGGAGAAGGGGGTCAGAGCTTCAGTTCCCAGTTCTGAGGCTGGAACACTGGTTCAGACCTTGAAGGTGGGTATCTAAACTATCCTCAGGCACTGTCAAGGGACCAAAGGACCATTACTTTGGTGTTTTCTATACTTGCCCATTTCACCCAACTTGAGAAACAATGGACAATGGCTTCTGATCTAGCCTGGGTGTTAAGCTTCAGTCCTAGCTTAGCAGATGTGTAGGGGCTGCATGTGCACTCAAAAAGTTCACCCATCTCTTGCCTGAATACAGTCTTTGCATCCAGGCTCCATATTAACTCTTAACTGCAATTAGTGAAAGTGGGAGCAAAAACTTCAGTTCTTTTGGTAGACCCATCAGGAAAGAAGATGGCAGGGACAGCTGATGAATCAAGAACTTACTTGTGCACATAATGCTAAACCACAGCTTGGCTACTTCGCATTGCTTCCAGATGAATCCTATGTGTATTGCACTGGTCAAACCAATGGATGTTAGAAACTGGAAAAAAGAAATGATTCGGGGGTTGGTAGCCTTATTTTTCTTTCTTATATTGACCTTTCCTGCTCTGTCTTCGCCATGTGAACAGTGACAAGCTGAAGTCTCTTTAATGTGTATCTGACCTGTGCAGTGTGAGAATATTAGACTGACATTATTTCTAGAGTTTGAAAAAAAAAAACACCCACTCCCCCCTCTACCTCCATCCTTCTTCCCTTATTTCCTTGTTCTGTTTGTCATTCCCATTGACTGTGTTTGTCTTCTCTTTGGCCTTGGAGAATATGAGAAAATGTTGTGGGTTCCTTTTACCTTTTGAACACCAGCAATGAGATATTTCGGAGACTAACTGTAATTTGCATTATTCTAAAATTAGAATTGACTTTTAGAGCCTCTGAGGAAAAGGTGGTTCTGTTTAAGTTTTTTTTTTTTCCCGTGGAATTAAACCATGAGGCTTTTTTTCCCCTGGATGTCAGCACGCAAAACGTAGCAACAGTATTGCAAACATAATACTGCAATGCAAATAATATTTAAATCAAAGGATTTTAAAACTGTGTACTCTGTATTAAAGTTTGTGTGTGTAAGGGAGAGGGAGAGTGACTGAGTCTTCACCTATGTTAATACAGTACTATTTGTTTTTTTTTTCCCTCCTGCAAACACAAAAGCCAAGGGGGAGGGAATATTTCATAAAAATCAATGCTATTGTGTCCTCTGGTCTAAGCCATAAAACAAGAGCAACAGAAATAGTCCCTTTGAACTTGAAATCCCTTCCTAAGCTGCTGATCTAACCTAAGCAAGAGAGGGAGAATTTACTAGTCAGAAACATTTGTTCTTTTTTCTCTTTTCATTTTCCTATTTTAACTCCTTAAGTGAGTTTGATGCTGCACCTCTGCCCATAAATTTTAAAAAAATATTATTGTAATGTAGGTCAGTGAACTGAAGCGCCACTGTACACCAAGAAGGATTAAAGCCAGAAAGGCAACCCTCTTCCACTCCCGCTAGGTCATATGACAATATAAACAAGAAATGCAAGGAGCCTTCAGCTTTTTCTTGACCTAATCCTTTGTTTATGCAGCACTTAAACTGACTTTTGGGGTCGTCTCTGTCTGGCATTAAAGCCCTTAAGCTTTTTGAAGTTTCCCCGAAGTTAATAAAATTAGTCTGCCCTCATGGCGAGGCCCCTGTCTGCTGCCTCAGAAGAAGAGTATGAATCCGTTGTTGTCTTTGCAGTACTAGGTTTTTAAACTTCATATTTTATAACCAGAAGAAACTGGAGGAGAGTCTGAGAAGAACCAAAGCCCAGAAGGTTGTTCAGCTAATGGGCAGAGTGACCGCCATAGTAGATGCTCTGGGACTCAAAGGGGATTATGGCAGAACCTGGTGACTGGAGCTGAAATGGTGGTATGGTAATAAGAGTTGCAGTTCAGTGGCAGCAAATAATAAGTTTGCTAAAACAAATCAAAAGAAGGCAAGGAGCATGCTCATTCTAGGGGAAGGAAAATGACATTTCTGATCAAGTAACTTTTAAAAGCTACAGTTCATTTCCTCCTCCTTTCCAAGAAAGAGTTGGTGGCCATGGAGATAAGGTTTCCTGCAATTAGAAATAAATTTCTCTTTTTTCTAAATCAGTCATTCATATATATTACTTTCATATAATATTCTCTTAGGTGTTGATTGTACAGCAAAAATAAACATGGCTACTATTTATTACTTTGGCTAGGCAGATAGAGTTTGGTCACTTTATGTATTTAGATCATGCTGACAGCATGTTGCTGTTTGTACTTCAGTTTTACAAACTGGGAACTTCAGCTTGGCAATAATTTTTTGACATTTTTTTCTGTTTGCTTGGCGTTTTTAGCTGCTGTATTCTATGGAGTCACCTGTGTACATTCTTGGAGACAGTTTTATTGTTGAACAACTTTATTGTCTTATTACTATTTTAAAATATTGCTATCTTCCTGAGGACTGTTGGTTTACAGGTTGAATATAAATTGGGAAAAATAAATAAGAACCCAATTCAATTGTTCTTTGCATATTTCCCCTTTCTTGTGCTCTTTTGGTAGCTCTACTATGATTGGAAAGCAGGGCTTGTAGGACAGCTATACATGTCCAAAGGACTGGCTGGATTGGGCCCCAAATAAAAATAAATAATGCACATTCAAAACCGTAAAATGCAGAGAGGAAGAGGAGGACCTGGTAAGCCAGGCTGATTCCTTGTAAATGAAAAAAGTGGATTACAAATGTAATAAAATAAATAAACAATAATAATACTCAATTTGTGATTTTGGTCAAACTCCTCTTGGGATGCCCCAATGTCCTGAAACTTGTAGGCTTTGGGGCATCCAGTGCAGACCAGCAGGAGCAGCAGAGGAATCTTTGCCTCCCTCCCTCTTGTCCTGCAATTCTGCTAGATGGTCTTTTACACCATCTAGCAGAGATTCTTGGATGGAGCTTCTTGAATAGGGAGATACAAAGGCTGAATAATACCTCATATCTTGGCCTTTCTAGTTCCCTCTTCTCCCTGCCACCCCAGATGCCTCCTTTTTCTCCTTCCCAAGCCTGCTTGACTTCCTTTCTTTCTGCACTAGCCATGAAAGGAAGGGAAGTGGGAGCTTTGATTCCCAGGGGTCAGCATGCTTTCTCCATTCTGGGAATCTCAACTATGCTGATGCCCTCAGACACTGTCCACAGGCCCTGGATTGCTCCCTTAATTGCTAAGTTGGCAATTTGAAGCAAGGTCTCTTAGGGCCAAGTCTAATACTGTTCAATGAACCTTGTGACATCTACTATATGGCTGATTTTAACAATATTATGAAGACAATAGCTACATTATATCATCCAGCTTAGCTGGATTAGAATTCTATGTAATGCAAACATTTTCCACCTTCACTTTCAATACGGCTCCTTTTCTCCATGCAAAGATTAGTCTGTATTTCTTATGCAGTGTGATGCAGAACTGCAGTGCTGATTTTAATGGTGAATCTAATGGTAGCTTTCCCTTCAGTAAAACAACTCTTCCGTATTTATTTTCACGTAAAAGCTCTTCTGATCCAGAGGCACAGTGACTTCAGGGGTTAGCAGCAGCCGAAGATATTCACACCTTGGGGATTAGGCTCACTTCGTTGCACCTTTGCCTTGCCAATGCCCCAGGGAGGGCCGTTTATCTCTGCCTGTGCCACAAGCTTGCTGCCTCTTGTACCTGATTACTTAATTATGAATCCAAACTTGGAATGGTGACTCCCACTGGTTTAATAATCTTCAAATTAAAATTCAGTACAGCTGGTTTAAGACATTGGGTTTAATACATCAACATGATTACATACTTCTTAAAAAGGTAAAATTTTAAAAGCTCTGTTGGAAACTCTTTTGCCTTATTTGAGCAGGCAAAATAATCCACTGAAAAGAAAGTGGTGTAGAGCTGAAAACTGATAAGGTACATCTGTCCATATGAGCAGTGTCTGAGAACATTACAGCCAAGGATTTGGTTGATCAGATTGCTGTAGTGAGAATAGAAGACTGAATTGGTGGAATTGTCAAAGGTGGGACAGTTCTGTTATCTAGACGTTGACTTTGTAGCCCTATGACCATAAAATCTTTGGCCTGCAGACTTCACTCCTCTAAATCTCCCTTGCAGATCCTGTCAGGCAGCCAGTGGTGCATTGCCTTGATTTTGGCTCACTCCTTTTTCTCACTGGCTTCTCCTTGTTCATGTCTATCGGGTCTTGCTTTCTCATGCCCTTGCTTGGTCCCCCACTGTCCATTCATCCTGCTTCAGTTAAAGTTCCCATCACTTGGTCATCCTTTCAATTCTGGTTGTCCTCCTGGATGTGGTTTCTATAAAAATTCTGATATTTTTGTTTCTTCAGCAATTGGAATGTTACTGAGTATTGCATGCCATCACAACCAATCAGGCAATCTGTGCACAGGTTTCAGCACAATTAGCACAATGTAATATAAAGTGAGAACTTAGGAGTTTGTTATTGTTTTTGTTTGTAGCTCTGTGATGACTACAGTGTGATTGGCCGTTCGCTGTTCAAAAAAGAGACCAACATTCAAATTTTTGTGGGGTTGAAGGTCAAGCTATCTACAGGAGAAGAAGGCATAATAGATGGTGGCTTTGGGCAGAGTGGCAAGTTTAAAATCCGCATTCCAGGTAAGTGTTACCTTTGCTGTCTTCACAGACTCAGAAGAACTTTCATTCTTCACTACTAATGCCTGGAAAATCCTGAGGAATCCATGCATTTACAGCTACCTGCAGTGCAGATTAAGTATCATGCAATTTACTCATTCTGAGAAACATTTTTACTTTTTGCACAATACAAAGGGCAATCTTTTAAAAATATATTTCTATCTTTGAATATTTAAAGTTCCTGTGAAAGTGCTCCTTTTTGGCAAGATAAGATGGGGTAGTGTATAGAGGGACAGTACAGCTACTGTCTTCTTGTCACCCTGGTATTATTCAGAATGAGAGCAATGTCATACTGAGAATATTGCTTTCACTCTTAACTGGCTTTACATGCCGACATCTGACTGGCTGCATAGTTAATTTGTTGTCCTACACTGAGCTGGGGGTTGGACCTGATGGCCTACTTGGCACCTTCCAATGCTACTGTTCTATGATTCATTGCAGCGGATTTGCGGGGTTTTTTTTTTTTAAATTGTACTCCCCAGTACTATTTTAATACTTAAAATATGTTTAATGAATATGCATCATCATCATCTGAGAGAATATAGCACTCAAGAACATACAGCATATAATGTAAAAACAGTAGACATTCCCTGCTTGTATTCTTACATTATAAGGCTATTCTCCTATTCCCAACCTCTTACTGTGGATTGTGACAAGTAAAGCAAAGGGAAATCAGAAGCCCTTTCTCTGCAGCATTACAGAAGGGTTGCTTCAGGTACTTCACTGCCGCATGCTAACCTGAAGAGCACTCTGGAGGGTTTTCTTAGGTGGATTTATCATGGGCAGAAGATATTAAACCATTTATGTAACACAAGGTCTTCCTAACCTTTCCCAGTTTATCTAAGCACATTTGTCTAAGACTAATTTTCAGTGCCAGCACTGCTACACTAAGACATAATACTGAGCTTGCAGATTTTTTTTCACCAGCTTAGGGCATTTATATAATGACAAGTGTAAATATTTATTGTAAGGTCAAACACAGAAAAGAACATGAAAAAGCCAACACATTCAAAGTAAAAGGTAACTCCGGGTTTAACATAAGAAGGAAGATTAAACTGATGCTTACAGATTGCGATTTGGGTAGCTAGATATTTCCATCTTGATTTCACCACTTCAAGGTGCAACTAGTTTTGAACTGAAGGACCATGTGAGGGACTTTCAGTACCATCTTGTAGACAGCTCCCTGGCCTCCAGCCTGATAACTGACAGCCTTACTAAAAATCCAGGCGTGCCCCCATTTTTTATAGATGGAAAAAGCGGAAAACATTGAAACCCCTCCCAAAGAAAACTGTTGCCATTCCTTTTAATTTCTTAGACATGTGTAGCTTATTCAGTCAAGTACAATTCTTTAAGGTACACCCTTGTACTGATGTTTTTAAAAAAATATAAAACCCAACAGGAAATTGGGAAAGGGTATCCTCATTCAGGCTTCCCTGAGACATGTGGAGAGGTGTTGTCCTCAATCTGGTTAGTCTAACCAGGCCTTTATTAACTATTTTGATTTTGGGCAGAATGCTTGGAATTTCCACTTTTTGTCTAGGTTTTCTTCTCACTGAAGTGAGCTTTACCAGAATATGGGAAACTTAAATTATTAATATTCTGAAGAAATGTACTAAAATAGAATTTATCAATTTGGTAATAGTTTTATAGTGATATGGTCTATCTATTTCAAATTAAACAAAAAGAGAGCCTCAGCATGAATCTGTATGCTCTTGGCTTGGATGCTTCAGACAAAAGCTGTAAATTAAACTTCTAGGTTCATGAGTTGTTTGTTTAGTATTGCAAGTTAGCTAAGCAAACAAAGATGGGGAATACCCAGATTCTGAAATTAAGCTTCAGTTTCTGTTCAAGCTAAACAAGCTCAGTGGTTCAGTTTAGAGACAGTGCTCCTTGCTGAGTAAACCATGGTTTATATGACTAAGAATGAGTGTCAGTCCTGTGTGTTTTCCCTCTTCTGGTACACTGGCATTGCCAATATGTTACAGTGGTACTTTTAGGTAATTTTGGACCCTCAATGAATTCTCTTAAGGAGTAAGGAGTCTTACGGATTCCCTCCTTTAGAAGGCCAGGTGTGTTGCTTCAGCTGTGAAGCACACAAGAAACATTTCTCTCCTCCACTCTTTGGCATTCCATGCTTTACAACCGCTTCTACAGTTCTGATATGTTTGAGGTAAATAGTTTGCCAGCCCTGGTAGGCAGGCAAGCAAGCAAGCAAGCAAAAAAATACTGTGAGTGTGTGGAGTTTTGCATTTTATATTTGCTAGATCAGCACCAGTTTAAATATGTAACTAAACTTGAACTAATTTTTAAAAATATGATCTTTAGTGATGAAAAAGATCAACATATGTTTTATTAAAGCTTGAAATAGTGGTACATTATTTTTAATAGAGAGATAAAATAGTTTTTCCCCTTGACCAGGGTTTTGGTAGCTTATTTCGTGTTAGCAGGAGTCCCTTATGATGTTAATTGTGAGATGTGATCTGCATCAGCATCATTAACCCTAAGACTTCATAACATATTAACATTTAGTTTTGCTGATGTCTGCAAACCAAGGCTAAATAATCATTAAATGTACTAGTTTAATATACTCTTTTAATAATTTCAGTTGTGTCCCAAAGGGGAGTCTAGACCAGTCAAGCAACTTTAAGGGATTTTGTGGGCAGTAGTTTAAATTCAAAGATGCTAATGCAGATGTGGAAAGCGCTTCTGCTTGCATATGGTAGGTCCCCAATTTTCACTGATCCCAATAAATCCCGCTATGAAATGTTTATTTGTTTATTTATGAATCTTTTTATATACTGAATTTGTTGAGGGTCCTCCCTATTCAGGGCAATTTGAGGAGGGCTACAGAAAATAGAGGGGACAGGCAAAAATTGGGTGTAAAAGAAAATGTTGCCAAACTGCAAAGCTTTTACAACTTTCCAAGAACATAGTCAGATGTGCCCATCTGTGTTGCAAATGGCTATCTATCTATCTATCTATCTATCTATCTATTTATTTATTTATTAAAACATTTTTATGCCGCCCCATTCGCCGAAGCCTCGGGGCGGCTTACAAAGAAAGATTCTTAATCTCTTTTCATATATCAGAATAAAGGCTTGTCCATTTTATTGGTGGGGAGCTGGAACTGAGGTTCAGTTCTGACCAACCGTCTGTTGCTAGCTGATGGGGGAGAAAGTTCCTTACATGAATGGTCTGCTCCCATGAGAAGTGTAGTCTGACTCACTGCCTATAAAATACAGAGACAACAAGTTCTGATTTTTGTGTTCACAGAAAGTGATTGGGTGAAATTGTAGAACCGAGTTAAATTGCTCACGGAAGCAGTCTTTTCCTCAGGTCAGCTAACACCCTTTCATTGGAGCTGACTGTGCTTGACACAGGCTGCACTGACTAAATTTCACATGTGACTCTCCATCTCCACCGCTTGTCTTTCCCACTCACCTTTCCTCTCTAACAGACTCTGATGAAACTTTAGAAGCACACTTGACAGGTTAAAAACTTAACAGGTTACAGAATGGTATACATTAAGTACCATTCTCCTTGAAAGAATCAACTGCTTATGAAAAGAACTGAATCCAAGCAGAGTCTTTCCCTCCTTCCCTTCCTTTCAGAAAAGCTTGTGACTCTATGCTCAGGATGACTCCTGCCCATTGAGGGCCAGACAGTGAGAACCCTGGTGCTTGGATTGGGCGAAATAATGCCTTCTCATTTACTCCCCCCTCCAGCTCTGAAGTGTCCCCCTCCTTTTCAAAGGTGGACTGGTTCTCACACTGTGCTTGAGACTCTTCACTAGGTAACTTTGAAATGGCCAAGTTGCCTGCCCACCTCTGCCCTTCTGCCTCCTTACCGGAAGCAGGCAAATTTATCTGAGCCTGCTCCCCCACCCCCACACATGATTCCCTACGTTTTCCATATGGACATACATTTTTTTCTTTTCCTTTTAACTTTATTTTTAATTTACCTAAATGTTTAAGGTAAATGGAATAATAGGCCTAAATAGGATAGTTTTATAGAATAAAAATAGTGCAGTATGTGAAACATAGAAGCACAATTAGGAAATCTCTAGATTTCTCTGTTTAAAAAAAACCTCTCAGTAAGGGAAAGGGCAATAAATATGATGTTGTTTAAGTCAAATATAGTTCACATTCCATTGTTAGGTCAGTGTTGCTTTTCTAATACGTCTGTATCCTGTTTGTGGGGTTTAATTATTTTTTAAATTAAGTTTAGCTGGTTGCATTCCCCTCTTCAGTTCTTTCCCCATATATGCTGTTATACCTCTTGTTCTTTCACATAAAACTTCCTTTCATACAGGCTTACTCATATAACCTTTTTAGAAATAGTTTAACTTCTTTAAGATTCTTTAAATATGCATACATACAAACTCTCTCACTTCTCATGAGTACAATTTAAACGCTTAAATTGTTAAGGGGTTACTTAAAGTTGAGACACATAATGGTTTCTTTACAACACACTACTGAGAGAGAGAAAAATCTGTAGAAAAAAAGGAGAAACAGTGGTGTGAATTCTGGCATGTGAACAGATTACACAGAGAGGAAACTTGTCCTATTCCATAGAACATTTTATTGTACTGGACAAATAGTTGTTAAATAAGAGATAACAGTGGAGCTATACTTACTTTAAATGCAGTTATAGAACTTGGCAGCTTAAAGCTGCAATTTGGTAGACACTTAATGTGGGACTTGGTCCTACTGAAAATAGTGTGGCTCACCTCTGAGTGGACATGTGTAAGATTGCAAAATTGCAACTTAAGTCTCTCAGCTTGCATTATAAAATAAGACTAGATTTTAGTCCTGAGATTGAAAAGAGAAGCTTTGCATTATGTGGGGAATGTTTGGTGAGAGCTTAAAATCCACAGGGAAGCTGAGCTGCCAAAGAGTGTCTTTGATATCCTGCTTCTTTCCTGTGGTCTTTTTTCCTCTCCTGTCCCTGCTTTCCTCTCAAAA